CGGCGGGGTTGGAATACGGCGAGTAGGACGCGGCGGGAGGAACTGGCAGTGTTGGGAGGCGATAGGCCATCAACTGGGGCACTGCGCACGCGAGGGTTGCACGCAGTACTTGAGCAGAAAGAGAGAGGCCGCGGACGGGGGAGGCAGCGAGCAGCAGACGCACTCCCGAATAGGTGAGGTCGCCGGAAATGGGTCGAACGAGCGAGGAAACTCTCTTCCCATTTTCGTGCCTGCCTTATATATTCCCCAAACACCACACAACAACCTGTCCGCATCTTTCCGTTTCTCACGCCGCATGTGATCTCGATAAGATATCACCTGCCATCTCGGCCCATCGATCCTCCCTGCTGCGCCGTTATGAACGTCCTCTCCGCTCGCCGTGCCCACCGCCCAACCCCTCTGTGTCCTGGGCGCCTGCGCACTAACTGCCCCCGTCCAGGCACACTGGCGCATATGGCAGGCGCCATGCTAATTTGGGCATCGCCGTCCGAGCACCCCGAACAGGATCCCCGAATCGGAGGATCCACTTGCCCTCCCAGACCCCCGGTCCGCCGCCGCCTCCACGTCTGGTGCACCCGCCAAGCCCTTCGCCGCATCAGATCGCCATATGCGGGCGCCCTCCTGCCGTTCTCGCTGCTTGCGCCCGCATGGGATGGCACTGCCGAGCGCGTGCGTTCTGCCATTGGCCCGCTTTTGCCTTTTCCATATGTGCGGGAGACTTTCTGATCTTGGAAGGTCTCTGTCCCAGTTGCCCGTATCTTGTTCTTGGCCAGGCTCACTCCAGACGCGATGTCCCAGCGTAATTTGCACTGCGAAGGTGCGTATCTGAGCTAGAATCAGAGTTCCGTGGACGCAATGGGCATACGGCGCAGTCACCTCATCACCACGTTGCCGCGCTGGCCACACGTCCGAGCACACCGGGCGGATACATCAGCCGATGTCAATGATGCTTACTCCTTCGGTCACTGATCACAGCCCAAGCGCTCGCTTCCATGCCACAGCCGTCCGCTTCTCTTCCCCAGCACCCCAAATGAGGCTGCCTATCACGCGTCAACGACATTGCATTGTCCGCATATCATACAATGGCTACTGCACTCCTCAAGCCTCCACACGCTCGTCCTCGAGACCGCCCTTGCCGCCTGACGGCTTTGCATGACGAAAAACGTCCTAAGCATGCAGCCGAGCATCAAGCACAACGTCAACTCGAGCCGCAAGGTCCTCCCGATTATCAATCGCGCACGGCCACGCGCCACCCCAAAATGCCTCCGCGGCCGGCTCATTGCAAATTCCCCGCAACTGGCTCCGCCCTCGGCCGTATACGGGAACCATAATGCACAGGATGACAGAGAAAATAGGATGGTCATGTCGTAATAGTACAGGATCTGCGCATGGCTGCGTTGGGCGAGCTCTGTTGGGATGCTGTTGGATAGGCGCTGCTAGTGGTGCAGAGCCTCTGCAGACCCGCGATCGCTGAGCGCTGATGTGATAGCACGTCCTCGGACTAGCCGGAACTTCGATATCAATCAGGCCACACAGCCTTTGCAAGATGCTAGCGGGGATCTTTGCGTCACGGTGGGTGGAGCCACCAGCCTTTCACATCCACATCTGTCCACGATTATATGAATTGCATTCTGTCATGCCGACGTTGCTCTTTCAGCCGCCTCTTGGGTTTTTTCAGTTTCTGTACATCCGACATGAATTGTGGGGCCCTTTATGTTAGTGACAGGGCTGCTATTCCTGAGTCCGTTGCAGGTGCGACTTACACACCTATTGCAGTGCTGATCAGACGATGTGTGTCACACTTGACAGACCGCCGGATTTACAGCTCAATGTATGCGCGTTGCGTATAGGGACATAGGGGTGAAATAGCAAGCTTTCGCTAGAACCGCCAGACGACGCACACCGCACACACGAGAAGTGTTGCCCGTTGGTCCAGCTCAGGCTTGTCGATTTACGGTATTCCTCTCGTCCTCGAGGCGTCATGACCTCATGTTTAAGATCCGTTCGGTTTGCACAGGAGCTTAATTACTGGGTGATACACGCCGCAGATCTCATAACACTCTAAACGCCCTTCATTCCGCCGGTCACTCGCGCCCATCTCGCCTTACTCCTTTCTCCTTTCTCCTACGTACTCCCGACGTACAAACGATTGCCGAGCGTTCACGTCCAGCAAATTCGTGGTCGGTTCAATGATGCTTCACATTTTCACACTCCGGAACTGACATGCCTACTCTTGCGCTCCAGCTTCCGTTGTGCAATCGCCCACTATGCCCGTAAGAGTGTGTATTGTTCGTGATCTTCTCGACACTTACACTCGGCGCTCTCATCTTTCGCCATCACAACGTCATTCAGCTCCTACCCCAGTAACTTCCCTCCCCTTCGTGCTTCCCGAACGCACAAGCGAGCGCCGAGTGATGGTGGGTTGACAGAGTCGTCAATCGACCCATCGCTCGTCCACGTTTTTACACTCGGGGAGGACATGCTTTCCGTCATGAGGATCCTGCTGTCTACATCCATACCACGCGACCTGACGACGTTATATTTCCGCTCGCGCCGGACACACACAAACGCCTCGGGCGCTCGGTGACATTTACATAAGATGTCGCTTGTTCTCCATGTTCTCGTCCGTGATAGATCGATGACTCTCGTCCAGGCGTCCGTCGTGCTCTTCGCATACGTTCTGTTCTCTATCTGCGCTCTCTTGCCGCCCTTCTCACGCCAAGCTGCGCTCCCAGGATCCCATTCGCCGAGACTCCGCAAGCCTCCTCTCTATGGTATCCCACTTGCCTAAATGGTCCGTGATACGTTGGCCCGGTGGCCGCCCTCGCTGTGATCACATCCAGTCATACGTCAGCACCGGGGCCGAAAACGTCAGATGTTCGGCAGCCCGAGGTTATATAAATATGGCGCCGGGAACGTTGTGCGATGATACGAATGGACAAATCGGGTGACCGCGCGTGTTTCTTGTTTAGCAATTGTCACTGTGGAGCGTGGCCAGGTGTCAGCTAGTTGTCACATTAGGTTCGTGCTTCGGGGCGCCGGGGCGGACGCTCCATTTGGGAACACAGCTGCGTACTGCACCCGGTGGATCGCTCAAGGAAGCCGTGGGTCCGTGGAGGTACGCTGGTCCGCCAAGGGGATGCGTGTGTGATGTCTGCTACTCTGCGTCGCAGACGTGGTTTGTTGCCGTCCACGGCGGTGATAAATGTAATGTCTGTATCGTGTCATTCCATGTAGCATGATTCGCATATGATATATGCGTAGCTCGATGAATTGCGATGAACAGAACGGGTGCGGGGATGATGCGGGGATGGCTTGATAGGGGCACGCTGGTGATGTACTGTGTCGCACGCTTCTCGATTTCGCCCGAATGCAGGCTTGAATTCAAAACGGCGCTCGTGATCGAATGTTGCACGTCGCCGAACAGTTTGTTCAACTGCCATCGCATGGATGCCTTGATTTCCAACAGTAATCGAAGCGTACTGGTGCATGAGCACAGCATGGACGTCAGGTATTCACTCCTGCCATTCCTTACACCTTACGAGTTCGCGATCCGTGCGCATTGACAATTCCTCCTGGCTCTGGAGCCCCATCCCCCGACTGGCTCAACCCGCCGCGCTGCATACAGTCCACCGTCCAACATCAGCAAGCCTTGCTGACGCATCTCGGGACACCGGCGGGCCCAATTTGTCCTCCTCCCTTCCCTTCTCATCCTATCTGCACGGACTCGCCATGGCCATGCCCACGCCGCCCCGAATCCTATTACGGCACGCTTCTCCCAAGATCCTTGCGCCGAGGCTTATCTCTGCCCCGTTATTGCATATGGCAGCGCTTCGGGGCAAACCTTGAGCTTAGTTCGGATTGTGGCCGTGGAGCGCGGACTGGATGCAGCCTCGAGGAATTGTTCGATCGCAGGTAAGACGCGCGCAGACTCCGAGCCTCGGCCAAGCCTGCCGATGCGCGCAGCCAATCCGAGAAGGCGGATCGCGTGTCGTTGCGTAGCAACATCGTAGCGTTCCCACCCTCCTGCTCATGTGCCCATTCCTCATTTGAAAAGGTCTGCACTCCGACGATTCCTCCGGGGGATGATGACTGTGCGCCGCTTCGGTGCTCACATCGCGCCCGGGGCGTTCCTGGCCGCACTTCTATCACACCACTAGAACGGCAGTTCGCCTGCCGTCTTCGGCAGTATATAATATGTGGACACCACGGTTGATGCGTCCGGATCTGGCGGGATGGATATGTCGACTAAGCTCATCCCGTCTCCTCTCCGTCCGCGGTAATGAACCGCACAAGCCGGGCGCGAGCGCGATCTGCATCCGCGTGGTCTCCACCGTTGGAGGAGAATCGGAACACCCGAGGCTAGAGCTTAAAAGTGCGATCTACATCAGCGGCAGGAACTCGATCTCGAGTCACGGGGAGATAGCCGCAAGAGGCAGCCATGGCCCGGAACGGCAATTGACGCTCCAAATATAGACAATGTAGTTGAAAGGTGCGAAACACTGGCAATTCACGTAATTTGCTGGTGCACGTGCATCTTTTATCCATTCCCCGAAGCGAGAGTTTATGTAAAACGCGACGAATGGCTCTGTCTGACGCAACGGTGAGTTTCCTTAAAGATAGAACCTATCTGTTCCAGCGGCTCACGATCAGGTGCGAACCCGAGTCCAGAATTTGCCAGCAATGAACCCCGAAGCCACGAAATTAACGAACACGTCCACAACTCATATCACAAGCATGATAACTCCGACAGCTCGGAGTTGTGTGCTCCGTCGATGGCCCTGAGCTGTTTGACACCATCAGCGATAGACGACAGCACGCACTGCTAGCACTGGTCGCTCTTCGCAGGGAAAGGGCGTGTCTCCCTATCTAATGGACTTCATTGGTCCGTGTCGCCTTCTGGGAACGATTTCCGAGTATTTGTTCCATTACACCTGCATTACTTCATGATCACGTACCTTCTCTGTGGGATAGGATCGACACACCAATGACCATCGCTCGAGCGGATCGTCTCTGCAAATTTCGGACCATCTGCACAGGGTCGTTGAGCATTACACAGTCTTCTGGCCTCAAGCTCAGCGCAGAGAGTGAGAATAAGTGTGGAAGGACCGACTCGGGAGCAGAAGCTCGAAAGTCCGACGTACCTAGAGCTTCATTTCCTGCAGAGTTTTCTCTCGCGGTCATACCGGGTACGCTGACGGTCTTCAAATCTTCCAGACTTCTCCTCGGCTGGGTCATTTGTTATAGCACGAAGTGGCCGTTGTGTGGCAGCAGAATGGTTCATCCGCTTCAGCAAGTCGACCGGCCGGCCATATGATCGCACTGCTGATATGAAACCCCCGTCTCGCTTCCTCGGAGGCAGAGCGGGGGCTTTTCGATACTGACTCTCGGCGCCTGTGGTGGTGTCCGCTGATCAGATGGACGGTCCCTGGGCTAAGGGCTAAAGCCTGAAGAGTGTTGCCTGATCACCGCTGTGTAATCTGACTGACGGCTCTATGGACGGGAAACCCTCTTCGGCGGTCAGACCTTGCGCTGTGCATCTCTCGGTTATGCTCTTACCTGGACGCGATATCCATGTTTGGTGAAGTGCACGGGTAGCGAACGTGACCATGTACTCAGTGCGTATATGGCTGTGTGCGCGCCAGCTCATCCTGCGCGTCTACCAGCAGCTGCAGCGTCAGCTTGACCCCTTGAGAATAGCATATATGCATCTGTAGAACAGTGTCATCTGGCCCATGTGGATGAGGACAAGGGCCACAAGTTATCATATCAACCTGAGCGGTACTCCAGAGAAAGGCAGCCGTCACTGACGTTTTGTTTCCGAGTCAAAAATTCTCCGCTCGTAGAGGCGCATGACCTGTACGTTAGAAACCCTATATCTGAGTCCGGAGAAGTTCATAGACAACGCGCGAGAAATGTTTTATCACCATTAGACCGAAGATCCCGATCAGCCGGCTTCACTCGCATCGCTGGCGTCTGCGTCTGCGCATCCTCCGAGTGCTGAGCGCTTGAGCGCCGAGCGTACATATCTCCCAACATGGGAAAAGAACGGCTGTTTTACCGAAAGGAGCTTGCGGATGCAACTCATATCAGCAGCGGAGGTCTCGACGCCGAGATAACTGACCTTTTCCCCCGGTTTAGGCAGCCATGGCCAGAAAAGGCAAGAGTCGCACTAAATGTGGACCCTGTAACTTTTGCTCCGTCGCCCAGACGCTTAATAATCTGCGGTATTTGTCGACTTCTGAGGTAGCGAGATGAAGCGATAGTCGTCGATTATCTATAACGAAGGGTGAGTAAATTTTCACGGCTCGGACTCACGAATCCTCGGATTAGGCGCGAACGCTGGCCAGAACGTGTTGCAACGGACCAGGAAAGCTTGGGGGGATGAACTCGTCCCCAGCTCATCTCCGATTGGGTCTGTCTTGATGTCCCTGAGGCGCTTGAGGCAACAGGCGAGTGGCAATGGCCGCTGGTCATTGCGAAGGAATGACCCCATTTTGCAGAGACGATCCACTTAGCTCATGCTAGGACGCATATCGATCCTACATAAGAAGGAAGGCACGTTATTGTGCAGTAATGGAGGTGTAATAACACGAAAAACGCAGTGAGCACCAGATGCAATAGCGCACAATTTCTTCCAAGAAGACACCGATCACGTTCGCCAGGCGAGGATACACTGCCTTCTGCACAGCGTCGCTAGACACGAGAAGGCCTCGCGGCGTCAAGCACAGCACAGATGGCGAGAATCGACCTAGAATGACGGAGGCATGAGCTCGTAAGTTTGCTGTAGCCAGAGCTTCATTTTACTAGTGCATCTTCTTCAGTGCACATAGCAAGAACGGGCGGCGGAACATCGTAGGGATCCGAGAGTCCTAGTAGCACATCTGGAGGTTTTTCAGCCGTGCATTTTCTCGCCAGATCATTATGAACAACACACATCCTTCACCGTTTCGAAAACCTCAACGCAAACGCGTCTTACCTTCTAGCTAACGTGGCGCGAAACGGCCGGATGAGCGTGCCTGCCCAGATCAGTCCACCCGCAGCGAAGTCCACCCGCAGCGGAGGTCCAGCCGCTGACCGATCGTAGAACCGTGGTGCTGCGTTTATCTGCATCTGTCAAAAATCACCTGCTATGATCTCGTGCATACTAGATCGGAGGCTATTGAGGCTCGGTGCCGGAAACGGTGTCCGCTGGTCAGATGATGATCCTGCGTGCGTGCGTTGGGGCTAAGGGCTCGGGAGTCTGGTCGGTAGTGTGCCTTGTATGGATGAGGCGCTCTGTACAGCTGTTTTGAAACAAGTATCCTGCGAGTTAAATTTGCTTTGGATTTCTTGTCCACTGGGCGATTAGCTTTGCAGATAGGTAGAGAACTCGAGAGGAGTCATGGCTACATACTTAGCTGCTTCGAAGACGGATTGTCCTATGGTACCCAAGCGTTCACTCAGCGCGTTCATGTGTAGGACGAGCAGGCTCAGCTGAGCCATCAGCTGTAGAACAACGCCGTTGAAAGCATGAAGATTGTTAGTACATATAAGCTCCTCAAAAACTCACCTAAGCAACACTAGTTAAAATGTAAAACGCAGTCTCAACCTCTTCGGATAGAATATGCGTAGCCGACACCCGCATCCTATGTACCGTATCGAATCAAACAAGCCTTCTCCGAGGCTTGTAGCGGCATATGTCTTGTTCACCAGCGACTATGTTTTAGAATTGAGATCTCAAATGATATGACAACGAGGAGAATAGAGAGACACTGACGGCCCCCGTCGCACGAGAACACCTTCCGAAACTCGAATGAGGTTGCCTCTTTCACGGTGACGGTGATTTCCATACCTGGTCCAATCGATTGGATTCAACGTGTTGAATAAAGGGAACCAGCATCATGGCGCAGATACCGAGCCGCTGAGGACACCTTCGGTCTTGCTCATATTCTTGATCGGTACGTGACCCTGAGCATGAGGGAAAGAAACATCAATGCGGGACTGGAAGCTCGAGCGTGTCTCAAATCCCGATGCAGATGCACCGGGGACGTACCGCAGTGTTTTCAAATCTTATTTGTTCAGACGTCGTCACCATAATCATCATGCAATTGCAGGAAACAAGATACTACTACTAAAATGCAAATGCAGATACGAAAACTACGCCAACGGAGGCAGAGCGCCGACATCCGACATATACCAGTGACATGCACAATCTCCAAACCAAACTCCGCATAGAGAGCAACTCAACTGCTACTCGACACGAATCAATACAAATCGTCGATTCCCCTTCGATTCTCCGGCAATGTATGCATCAACCGGTGGCGCTGCGCGCTCTTTGACATGGCCCGTGCTTTTCTTTCTGCCATTTCTCTTGCCTCGTCGTGCTCCGGCGTCTGGGAAGGCCCCGCTTGCTGGCAAAAAAGGAACAATTGCGCGATCCTTTCAGCTGCCGTGGCAGCTACTGCAGGCCCAGCATCACCGACACCTGCGACACGCGCTCATCAAAGCTCTTCGTCGGATAGTGCTGTCGCATGCCTTCCAGAGCTTCCTTGATGTCCTTGACGCTGTACCGAGAGTCGTTCTGCAACACAGCATATGTGTGCAGAAAATGTGCTGTTTCTTCATCTAAATATGAGAGACACGACATGCAACGATTGGCAGAATCATCGAATGCATGCGATAGAAAGGGACATGTAGGCGTAAGCAAACAAGAATGACGAGAGGACGTGCGTACCACTAGGATCAACGGAGGGTATCCTCGACAGATGAACGTCTTCACAGGCGCTATCCCGGCATTGGCCACCACCTGGGACTTCGTACCGGCATATTCGTTTTGTTGGGTCAGTCAACAGATGCTTCACGTGAGCCAATTTCAACGAATTAAGATCAAGAGGAGAAACAAGAGAAGCTGTTGAAGTTGATGGGGTGTCCACAGACATTGCATTTTGCGGAGCTGCGCGTGTTGACGTGTCTCTAGCCTCTGAGGTATACTGAAGTGAGTGTGCACGCAACGAAGGCAGCCGTTCTAGTGGCGACGAGTAAGCTATAAAACGGGGAACTTGAAGGCGCGCTTGCTGCACGATAACGTTATTTGCTGATGTTTCAACCTAAACACATGAAACGAAAAATGATTTCATCAACATAGATCCAGAAAGCGACGTTTCTCCTCGAGGGGATCCATCGTACGCGATGCAAGTAGGTCCGACACGCACCTGGGCCGACGTCTCTGCACCGAAGTTAACGACGTCGACTTTCATAGTCTCTTGTTGAGTAGAATTAGGCCATGTTCCGGCGACCTAAAAGGAAGTGCCAAAAAAGAAAATAGGGGAGACAAAGATAGCAAATAGAGCACGGGCGGGAACGTAACAGTATACGACGAGAAAGAAAAAGAAGCACATTAAGTAATGCTCGCAACGGCCGCCGAAGCGGTGAAAGAAAATATCCTTGCCGCTTGTTCTTGTTGGGCCTCTGCAGTCAACACTGTCACGTGGTGAAAGAGCAATAGACAAATATGAGACAAATAGTAAGTGCAACGGGGGCATGGGCGTGG